GAGCAGGGAGGGCGCAAGGCCCTCCTCCACGGACTAACGAGCAGCTCCCTCGCCAAGGAGGATTTCAAGGGCTTTGGCATACTAGCGGCCCAGCCCGGGGGTGTAAAGGACAGGCATCTGGCGCGCCCCCGCTCAGTCCGCAGCGCGGTGATGCCTTGGCGCAGCAGCGCCACAAAAGTTCTGCCAAATCCTGCAATTTCAACTCCTGTCTTTGATCCTTCCTTTTTTTGGCTATGTTCTAGAGAATTGCTCTGTCCAAAATACTGAAAACTATAAATCCATCCCAGGACTACAGTGATTTCTTGAAAACCTTAAGATTAATGAAAAAGAGGACAAGAACATTTTTGGGGGAATTACTACACTGCCTTAACTGAGAGGAAAGAGAAAAAACAAACTTCTGAAACCAGTAGCAAAGCCCTGGGTTAAGGGGGGGGGGAGGGGGAGGAAGTCTGCAAGGAAAAGTGAGCATCCTTCATGACTGCAGCTGTCAGAGGCACTGCTCTCTCACACCTCTCCCAAGGATGCAAGAAGATTCAGAGTCAAGCTTGCTTTCCATGCCACATAGATACTAACACAAGAGGCTTGCTAAAGAGAGACAAAATGCAACACTACCAAAAAGGCTTTACTGCTGGGTTAAGCACTAGCAACCACTCTGTCTTCTCCACTTGAACATAAATGTGTGTAAAAGATCAAACGAGGCCACTGAGAATGCTGCATGTAATAGGATCACTGACTACAGAGCCACGATGTACCCAGACACGCTCATGTGATAGCAGTGCGTGAGGTGCTGAGAAAGAGCCCCAGCACCCTTCGCTGCACCCTGCACGCCCAGGAGTGCTTCTCTGCTTACTCAAGCAGCACTTCCTCTTTCTAGCTGCTCTGAAATCATACTTGCCCGCTTCTTAACCTGGCCCTCCAAAATAACAATTGTGTCTTGAGGATGATCCCTTTGCATTTTTAGGCAGAAGAAAAGAAAAATAATTAATGAAGCCTAGGGAAAAAAAAAAAAAAAAATCAAGAGACTAGAAGTCATCACAGAAAGCACAGAACAGGGAATGCAGTCTGGGGGAAACTTAGTAGAGAAGCAGGGTAGAACAACAAGGCTCATTAAGAAAGGAAGGAAATAGTGGAGAGAGAAGAGGAAAGACTTCAAGGGGAAATAGAGAATTAGCTTCATGAAAAAAACAGACTAAAAAGCCCATCAACAAAGAAAAACATTAAAAGGAAGGGGACAAAAGAGAAGGAAGAACAAAAAGCACTACAGGCATTTCACTTTTTTTTTTTTTAATCAAATGAAGTTTTATGCCAAAATATTATGCAAAACCACACAGTTATATTTTTAGTATCCAGAGCAACAAAAGCAAATGCAGGCTAGAAACCTGAGACGCCTGAATGCAAATGAAAGTTGAGCACTTTGTATACTGTGTGACAGTACACAAAAAAAGAAAACCTCTCTCCACTACCCCTCTACATCTATCTAGCCCTGTTTTCCCTTCCACTAACATTTTTACTACGTTTCTACAGGCTTCTTAGTTATGCTTGATTGGTATATTTACTCCCTTTCTCCCTCCCTCCACCCCCCACCACTAAATTTTCAGCCATCTTGTAAACTAGAGTCAAACCAGAACATGATAGTGCTGGGACACAAAATTAAGGTAAATAAAGCTGAAGTGATCATAGACAAAAAGTCTACAACAAACATTCAAGAGTTACCAATTACTAGACTACTTAGGGAAAAAACATCTAAGAAAAGTTATGAGGTTATTTTTTCCATTTTAATTTGCAAAAATCTTTGTGGTCAACTTTATATCTAGAAAGAGTTCCCCTGATACTTCAACTGCACTTTCTCTCAAACATTAAACAGGTTTGGAACTGCTCAGCAAAACAGGTTGGTAATGTTTTTTTTGAAACAGTTATTAGCAACTAATACATTTTAATCAATTCCCACTACAGAGAAGAAAAGTGAATATTGAAATTGCTTTCCTTCTTGCGTACCGCATACTATTTTTGCTGCTGCATGTATCTTTAGTCCAGTAGGACAGTGGAACAAGACTAGAGAGTTAAGATTCGCATGTTTATGAAAACTATTTGAGAGATTAGAGTTTCCACCAGTGTTGACCTCATGTTAGTACTAGAAGATTTGCTGTGAAATAAAAGCTTTTCTTTGCATAAGTACCCAAAGGGCAATATAAAGCTCTTGTGGGAAACGAGACTTAGAGGCAAGTGACTACACAAAAATGATCATCGACAAATATTTCGGCCAATTCTAATTACTATCTGTTTGCTGTATTTGGGTTGAAGTAGAAACTTCTGAAGCATACAGAGTTTTTACAGAACCCTGCTATACACGTAGCAGAAAAACATCAGAGATGAAACTTAACTGTACCATACAGTCCTATCCTAGGCTTCTAGTTACATGGCCTGTCACTATAAAACAAAGATGCATAAAAAGATCCCTGTGGCAGTCTAGAAATTTGACAACAGTGTCCAAAAAAATCTCTGTATATTAGGTCTTGTATACACAAGAAAATACATGGTTCTATACTTCTGCCAACAGGAAGGGTGAGGTCTGGCAGAAGACAGACATGACCAAATGGGAGCCACTGGCTCTGTGTTGTAAGGTTAACACAGCACTTGAGCTCTCGCTTAAGCTCCAAAATCCCCAAATCAACCAAACTCACTCACATGTGAGGAGAGCCAAGTGCTTTTCCAGAAAGAAAATCTTGGCAATGGAAGAAAGAATTGGAGTTACCTGGCTCACACTTGTGTTCTGCTTCTCTATTTTCAGTAAGGATGCAAAGGAGTCAAGTCATTTGGTTCTGCAAACTTTATCAAGGACTGGAGATTAGAGAAAGCCAATGAGACTAAAAATTGCAGGAAAAAGCAAATATCTGGGAATCCAGGCAAAGAGAACCACCATATTTAACTAGCGTCTGGCAGAACAGAAAGACTGCTAACCCATGGCAACTATAGCTACTGAAATGCAGATAGCAGGCAGTCCCCTTCACAACCTCAATTTCCAATGTGCTTTTTAAAAATTTATCTTAGAAGAGATAGGGAATAAGATTCTTTGAACCCTTTATTAATGTTCAAGCATGGAAATGGACCTGAAAGAAAGAGATACACCACATAAATAAGGACATTTCACTATAAGAACATGCTTGAAAAAGACTAAAAACTTTCAATTCTTTTTTTTTTTTTTTTTCATGCAAGCTGAAGTGATCTACTAGGTATGACAAGCCCTTACCCTAGTTTGTTTTTAAAGGGAAAAAGTGCATACTTCTACACTTGAAATTCCCCGTGATATACAGTAAGTACTGCATAACAGGTTCTCCTCCCTCCACTGTGTTAGCCTGTTGGCACAGTGGTAGGATAACATTTGCTAGATTTCAAAAACCACTCAAAAAGGTTCAGGGTAGCTTTAAAAAAATAAATAAAACAATTTAGTAAGATAGAGAATACTTTTTGGTGGTGGATATTTATAACACAAATTCATAAATATGATCACATTCAATTTCTTAAAAATCTATACAAATACTAGCAACACCACTTCCCTTGTAATGCATGGATTTCAAATAATTACACAAGCTCCATTAGATAGCCTTTCACATACAAATTACACAAAATTACAGACATATGCAGTAACACATCAGGAATAATGTAATGCTTCTGACTATTTAATGGTCCAAAAATAATACAAGTAATTCAAAAAAAGCTAGTTTTAAGTTTAATTGTTGGGGTGGAATGTACTGTGGGTGGTGGTTGCCTAGCAGCTGCTTTTGCTTTGCTGGCCTGACTTGCTCGGACTGCAGTTTCCAGACGTGTTTTTAATTCGGGAGCAGCTCCCATTACTGTCTTGAAAGCATGTGGGTAAAGTGGACCAATGTGCATTAGATTCTGAAGTGCAAACTCATGAAGATCCTTAGATGCCGTAGATGCAGAAGCAAAGGCATTTTCATTCAGCAAATAGGAGATCAGAGTGGGAACCAGAAGGGCAAGTAACTGGACTCCTAAAAGTGAAAGGAAAACACAAGATAACCACCATATTAGAAAAGGAAACAAAAGAAAATGAATTGCATCAGTTAGTAGTCTTGAGAAGGGTAGTTTTATTTTCAGGACTGACAAACACACACTGTAATTACAAATGATCAAATCAAAAACATTTAAAATGAAAATGGTTTCTTCTCCTGGGGTCACTCAATCAGGATAGTGTTTCAGACTTTTTCCTATTGTTCGTCACAGTTATTTTGTTCCTGACACTTCTTCAGAGATGCCTTTGCGCAAACTGATTGCGGATCATTGCTAACAAATCTCAAAGTGTAGGCTGCCTGTAGCACACTACGGAATTTTAAAACACTTCTCAGACAGACATAAAAATTATTCAGCTGAATCTGAAAAGCAGCTCCCCCAATGAGCATAACGGAACTGCTATTAGTATGCAACGGTTTGCTAAAAATTCAGGGACAGTTATCTGCTATATCATTCCAACTTGGAAGTTTTCCCATCTGAAAATTGATGACAACCACACTTGAGCTAGCAACAACTAATGAGGCCAGAGCCCAAAATGGCACAGGTATAAAAAAGTATGTTTAGAATTAAAAAAAAAAAACAACACTAACCTTAAGCAATACTGCTAATTTTTGGATCTAGCAAGGACCGTCCTCGAAACATGTAACATGTTAACAAGTAAATTTTAAGCTCAAAGACATTTAACATTTGTGGCAACTCATTTATTTAAAATGTTGTCAGTTTATCACAATATTAACATTTTTCCCCTCAAGGTTCTGAACTAATTTATATACTCATACGAGAGGGTGATTGACTCCAGCCAATACTAACACAAATCAGATGGTTTGCTTCCTCATACATTTCAGTTAGTCTCTCATTCTATAAGTGTTTGAAACAACTATGCCAAAAAGAATAGCACTTAAGAAAACAAAATTTAGTGTTTTATCAGCAATGCAGAGAAATATCAACCGGGAATAAATTGGAGGAGAAAAACAGCGTTATTTGTACATTTAACTTGATCAGTATTTGAACCTAAGTGTCTGCAGGATCAGTCCTTAAACGATGCATTCTTTCAGTTATTCTCCAAGCACAAGAAAGCATCACTACTGCAGTTCATGCTTATAAGTTCTTCTTTGCAACCACAAGAAATTTGAATGCTACAAAGAATGTTGCATAGATTTCACCTTTTTATGAACATGCCATCAAGTTCCTAACTTCAGTATCTCTAGCGTTTGATATTTTATTTCAGAATTACAGGTGCTTTAAGGAAACTAAATACTTACTATTCTGCTCCTCACCAAGGGCAACCAATGTTTCAAGAACTTTAATTCCTTCCTGCACTGCTAACAGCTCCATGTTGTTGTTCGGGCGGTTCCTTTCCACAGCTTTCAACTTCTCAACCATTATAGGAGCCAATGAATGGATGTATGGAGTTGACAGAGCACGATTGGTATGTTGGAATACAGAAAGCAGAAGCTGGTAACACTTGGCTTGAACCTAATCAAATCAAGATAGATACATTGTCCTGAAAGTTATTTGTTAACTGAGAGAATTCCAATAAAATTCACTATCTATGTGTGAGAGATACAGGTGATACAAGAAAAGACTAAATGGAAAGAAAATATATCAAGGAAGAGGCAAGCCACAATGCAAGACAGTTTATCTGCTAAAATAATATTAGCTCAGTTTTCAATAAAAGAAAGGGAGGCAAGTTAGAAAGAACACAGAAATACAAGGGGCCAGCAGCTATATGAACTTCGAGAAAAGAAAGGAAGTTAGTAACATACAACTCAGTCACACAGATCCACAAAGAACTAGATCTTTAAGTCTCAGAACTACCAGCATCAATACTGGAAGTATCTGCAAAATCATGAAATGCTATTCCAACCAGAAGGGTGAAGCGATCCATAAAAAGTAGGACTTGGACCAGATTTAAGTGACCTTGTTGCTCTAACACTGGCCAAGGCTGCTGCCAGAAGCGTCAGGCCTGCCTATCCTCCTTTCTAATTCTCCTGCTTGTGCTGGTAGTAGTATAGGAGTATATGCACAGCCACAGAGTGATCACAGAGCCCCCTCCTTTCCTTGTTTTTTTTTTTTTCCTCCTCCTTTTCACCGCCATCAGGGAATAGTTAATGCTTGTGAAAACGACTCACTGATAATCTTGTTTAGAAGAATGTATGAATGGATTCGGTTTGGGTTTAAAATAAGCCTTCCTCCAAAATGCCCCACAAATAACCCAAAACATTTGAAAATGTACAGCCCCAACAAATATCAGGACAAAATGCTGCACGTTTGTAAACTGCATGCTAATCAAAACAGGCTGAGTTATCAAGCATGTTCTAAACAGAAGCATATTAGAGGAAGTATTATTGAACATAACGATCTCTGAGGAGGTCTGAGGGCGACTAAAAGCATGTATATAATTAAATAAAAGGATAAAACTAGTAATAAGGTATTATAAGTTATGCAGTTCAGTTTACTGTTAATTCTGTACAAGACTGCAAGTGCTCTGTACAGTTTAATGTTTAAGGCCTGAAGTAATAACACTTCTAATACTTTTTCTATACTCTCTAACAGAGCTCCATGGCAGAACTTTTTCACCTGTCTTAGCATCACCTTTGATCTGTTTCAACAAGTTATTCCTATACCACTCTGCACTTCTCCAAATCATTCCCTTCCCTTTCTTTCCCTTATTAGCTTTTAAAGTGTACAACATCCTTTGAAATAAAAATTAAAATCTGTTCTCTTACATGCATGCAGAAGTTTCAAAAAAGCTTCATTTATTTTATGCATGCTAACCTTTTGACTAGTCTACATGCACAACAAAAACTCCTGTGAGACAAAATCAGGGTTTCTTTAAAGTCTGTAAGGCACAATCTCCTGTAAAACTTATCCATTAAAGATTTAGAGACAAAGGCGTTTGGAGACTAGGGTCTCAAGTGAGAGCCTATGGCTCTAGAAATCATTTCGATTGTAGGGGCAAAACGAACCTGTGTTCACCAGCCTCCAGGATACACTACATCTAGCATATTTAAGCTTTCAGGCTTTTGTTCCAGATCATCACAGCTTCAAACATACTCCTGTTATTTCTTATGAGGCAGCAGTATTTCTTCAGGGTTCTTTTTTCCATAACCATTTCAATAGGCAATGCTTTTATTATATAAAACAGGTATCTAGCTACTGGCCCCAATATATGTGTTTTCCACTTTAAAAACTAAAATAAAACAAAGACAGACTGTATATTCTGCACATCAGGGAGCAAAGAAGAGTGGATACAATCTGGCTGCTATCAAAGCATTCTCTGTGAATTACAAAAACAGTGCCAAGCTCCAGCTCACTGACAGCTTTCCAGCAGAGCGGACAAAGGAGTACTTCTATGCACTTCTACTGTAAGATTATAAGCACTGTTTATGTGCTTATACAGAGCCGAGAGAGAATAAGATATAAAAGCTTCTGCTTGATACAACTGACACTTCCATTCATGCACTAAAATCTTAAAAGCAGTTTTCCACCATAAATTAGGCTTCAGCGCAGAACTGAGTTTTACATCCATGCTCAAGACAGTCAACCAGCTGCAGAGAAGAATTCTCGGTCTACACAGGATGCTAAATGCCTCAAATGTGATCCTAAATACGTCAGCATTTTCTGCATATTTTTCTTCTCAGGAATCTCTGCAGTGCCTGCTTGTGGAAACACTAGATGTTTTAGCTCCCAATTGCAAATCTGTATATCCGTTCAAACAAACGGATTTATACACAGCTAGAAGAGTTAAGCTAAACTATATAGTACATTAGCCTGCTTGAGCAAAGTCAGGCTACAACTTTATTTAGTTTCTCTCTTCAGCAAGGAATTAATTCAGAAGACAATTCATAAAGACAAATCAAAGGACAGAAGTGAAATCAGGAGACAGATGATTCACAATCTGTAAATGTTCTGATGGTGACCACAGGATTGCATTTTTGCACTGGTTTCAAACAGGACTGTGTACAAACACATAAAATGAGCACAGGTTTTACACAAACAAATATAAAGTTCATCAGGAATTTGGGCTGTAAATTTATCTACAGAAAAAGAAGTTTAGTCTACATTATAAAAAGTCATAATTAATTAGAAATGTTACCATTCTTTGGTAACCAAATCTTTTCGTTTACTAAAATTTCACATATTAACAAAGATACAGGTTTTCTTTTTAAAAGACTGAGTCAAGAATCTGGCACAAGGCCATGAACAGGCATTACTCAGAAGCACCTAGTTTGGGTTGTTTTATCTGTTCATTAAGCGTTTCTATAATGAATTGTTGAAAATGCTAGTTGTTTTGACAAGCAGTACCTGATTAGTCTCTGAAGTAAAGAAATAACAAAAAAATTCAGGAAACACAGTAAATATATCATAATTACTTTTTCTCAGGCATGTATCATTCACGCTCCTATATCAGAAGCTTACCCAAGGATCACAGGAATTTAATGCATTTTTAAATCTGTTCATACATCCATTCTGTAAAGACTGTACTCCAATTATTTCAGTGCTTGCCGACCAGAGAAAGAGAGCGATAGCAGTAAGTATGCTTACTTCATCAAGAATCGGTTTAGAGGCTTCTGAAAAACAAAAATAGGTTGTTAGATTACTCTGAAAAAGGTTTAAATTTGTTTAGTAAATGCCAGTGAACAGAGATAAACTCACAAACATAAATGTACTTGAAATGATTTGTAACTGCATTTATCCATATGCTCATCACTGAGTCATTATTGACTGTGACTGACAATTTAACGTTTAGCAATTTCATTCTAATAGCTATTTATTTGTTTTAACAAAGTGAGTCAAACTTTCCGAAACTTAAATTTATCAAGCCAAAACATCATCAACACTGTCTCTGACCAAGTCATATTTTTGTTTTCAGTGTGTAAACAATAGGAAAAAAGACATTTTTTAAATCTTTTCCTATTAAAAATATACATTGTGTTTTGTTTTTTTTTTTAAATCTCTTCAGTTTACACAGCAGAATAAGAGACTGGAATCTAACATGGCAACAGTTTTCTCTTAGGATGAGTTTCACATAACAGACAAGCTGATTCAACAGCTAACCATCACAAAAAAGTGCAGTCCTGCCTTAACCCTCTCTGCTTTTCAAATTGATCTGTATTTGCCTGTGCCATCCTTTTTTTTTTTTTTCCTTGCGCCAGCTCTGTCTTCTTGGATCTCATTCATGAAGCTACATCAACACAAAAAAACAAATTAACTAGTTTTCTGCTGGTTTTGTTGCCCAGACTGATTATGCTCTCCCTTGCGAGTCAAAGTAAAGAAGCAGCAGAAATATACAGCCAGCAGCAGGAAAAACAGCATGACTTCCCTTTCTGGGTGTCAGCTAGTCATTAGATTGGCTTAGCCATGATGTGAAACCTCACTACAAAAATGACCCCAAGCATTTTAAGTGACAAATCACATGCAGTACGTCTTGCTAAGATTCTTGTCTATGTGGTTGGTATGTCCCACTCTACAGAAGGTCTGAGAGGAAAAGGAAGATACATGCTCTTGCAAGGTAACGAAAAGGATTTCTGAAGTCTGCAAAAGGCCTAAATAAAGCCAGTAATGTTTCTGGAAAGATGCCGAGAGACCTTTATGATAACAGAAGGTTGGAAAACAAGAGCTGACGTGACAGATCAAATTAGGAGTTTAATCTGGATAACGCAAATCCACTGAGCCTTCCCCTTTAAACATTTTCAGGATTGTTTGCGATTACCTACTCTCTCCCTATATCTCACATGAGTAACTCCATTCAAGCCTCTCTTCAATCTGTATAAATGGCTACTGGGGGATGTAATGGGAAGTTTTTGGCTGAACTACCATTATGCAAATGACAAGCCTTTGTGTGTCTCTTTTGTTAACTACAGAGCTGAGACTGTACAGCTTTTTTTGCTTTTCTAGTACTAGGCGAAGTACGAACGTGAACCAATAGAGGCAGCCTATAGTTCTCCAAAGAGACACAGTAGACATCCTGCTGGTGGGTAAGAGATTTTTGGCAGGGGTAGGATTTTTTTTAACCACTAAAACCTTGTAACAGTATTGTGAATATCTTACTCCAGTATGAGCCTTGCCCTTGCCATCTTCACACTCATTCACTTTAATACTCACTGTCATGAGAACTATATGAATCCTGTCAGCAAACAGTTAAAAGACACACTGATCGCCATTTTTCTTGAAGATTAATTCAATGAACTGATGTATCATACTGAACAATTACAGCTTCAGTTAAGAGATCAGTTCCTCTGCAAACATTGTTTTGGCAACTAAAATCTCCTTCCCTCTAAGCTAGCAGGTATTCTGTGGAAACAGGAAAGGAGGAGTCGAACTGATAGTTTGTTCTGGCCTTGCCAAGAGGTTTACAGTTTCCAGTAGTCACAGAAATTGTGGCATGGTCTAGGAAGTGAAATGATTTCAGCTTGGAACTCGTACAGATTGAGACATTCAGCACACGTCAGAAAGACTGATCGACATCAGAGGGTAGATTCCCAAGTTCCAGAAATAAGTCAATAGCTGAAACTATGAAGATTGATAAGGTCTACCTAAGGACAATTTGGAGAAAGAGGAATAATTACATCTTAATAGGATTCACAACGAGAGCGGAAAGTCTGGACTAGTACAGAAGAATACCCTGAGATAATGACCTTAGGAAGAAAGGTTGACTGATAAGTTGCAAAAGGCAATAATTCAAACAGGAGGTTATGATCAATATTGTCAAAGAATACAGACAAAGAAGCATAAATCTGGAATGGGAATTCCTGAGATAAAACTGTATTTTCTCAATGTTGTGCTTGTCCTCAACACAGCCTATTAAGTGCACAGAGTTGTGTGCAGTCAGGTCTTCCTCCCACTTCATTTTTACAAGCAGTTCATCACTCCTTTCAATCCCCAACCGGTTGCTTAGACGTGCAGCCTATTAAATTACAGAGACAAGACTTTCCTTTTCACTAAAGCAAAGCCCATCTCTCTCTAATTTAAACTTTCCCACACTGGGAAACTGCTTACCAGGTTGAGAGTATTCCAAGATAGATGCCAGGGTGCTGCGGATAAGACTTGTCCACTGCTTTTGAGTTTCATCAGTCTTGACTGTTGGAAGAGTAACAATAGTTTTTATCCCTTGAAGGGCTGCACTGACTGGAGGTGGGACCTGATTATCTGCTGATTTTACTGCTGTTTCTTTCAGTACTCTTGTTATCAAAAACAAGATAGTGGGTAGAATCGTCATACATCCTAGAACAAGACAAAGTACATTATCTCAAGTTAATTCCAATGAGTATGGTGGATAACCTCTTCAGGTTATATATATTTCTCTTTTGAGATATATGTAGCTAACAAAGGACACACGGAGATAAACTGTAATTCAGCTAACAAGTGATATATGCAGTTCAGTTATTTTATCAACTAATTCATTTATCAGTACTAGTGAAGTATATCATAATCAAAGTCATACAAGCCAACACTTAAAATCTTGCTATCAGTTCAGAAATGATATTCAGCAATTAAAGTTTTGCCCTATGTGGCATATGACACACGGTATGATTTTGCCAAAGATAGATTGGTCCGACGCACTGGAGAAACTGCAAGACAACAGAATCGAGTGCAGTTCCCTCTGGGGAAGTTAATCTGGGTGTCTCATCCTAGGGAAAAGGTATAACCCTGTGACTACTCTATATGGGAGATAACAAAACAATCCTCCTCCTAGGGTCTTGTTTTTTTCCCTGAGGAAATCAACAGTTATCTGTAAGTTTTGTGCAGCCAGTCCTGCAGGTGCAAGTTAGGCGTATATCAGGCAACTCAAGAAGTGCTGGTGAAGTAACTTGTAACCTGCCTTTAGACACATAGGAATTGTATTAGAATGAGCTTCAATAATGCATAGAAGCTTTTAGCACCTGTAGGACTGAAAGAAGGGTGCTGTTGGGTTTAGGTGCTTATTATCCATCTACAGCTCATTTCAGACAGTCAGGTCACTTTGCATGTCTAACTTCTCCATGCCTCATTTTCTACATCCGTGGCACCTCAAACCCCACTGTTTTCCTACTTATGGAAATGTTTTGAGGATAAATACACTCAAGAGAATTGGAGAATCATTATGGTTAGAAGGGACAGAGGGAGATGTAGTCCAAATCCCTGATCAAAACAGTTCCTCTAGATCAGACTGCCCAGAACCTTGTCCAGGTGAGATCACAAGATGCCCACATATAAAAGAAAGAAGAGGAAACAAAGAAACCACTCAGTCTCAGGAAGGGATTCAATCTCCTTGTTCAGTTTCCCTCACATCCAAAGATCCAAATAGCACAAATATTTGTGCGTATACTATGCCACACCCCTACAGCAATCAGCAGGCTACATCTTCTGGATGAGAAAGTATACAACTGTAACAGTCTCTTTAGACTAGTAATAGCTCCTTAGCTACTACTTTCACTAGTTACTGCCATGAGTTGGGAGTCATACCTTCATCCCATTCAACGCAGAAGTAGTAGGGTAACTCTTCTTGCTCAAAAACAAGGAGAAAGAAAAAGGAACCAGAAATCAAAAATAAAAGTAGGACTCTAGACCAGTTCAAAATTTGCTATGTTTTAACAAAAAATTGTAGGGCATTTATTGCTTGTTTGAAAAGAATACATGGTTTTCTGAGCATGATTTTGTCTAAATATGTTATTTACCCTGTATCTCACTAAGGGACCAACCTCCAGAACATCTTATCTACATCAGTGAGTGAAACTTCAGAGATGCATGAGATGCACAACTCAAACAATTTGTTCTCTGAAAAGCAAAACAGCGTCCCATGTTTTTGTGTCCCTTTCCCCTGAACTCCACTCAGTGCAGTTACCCCAGTTTACACGTATCCTTTGTGACAGTCTTCCTAGGCAGAAGCAAGCTCTGTTTAGTTTAGAGTTACATTTAGGATGACTGATAGGCAATGGCTGCAAAACAAAGTGTACCACAGCTGAACTGTGCTAATCTTTTCCTCAGTGGCATTCTCTTCTTCATCTGGCTGCTGCTTTTCAACTTCTCAGTAATTTAATTATCTTTGATATGTATAACTTCTTTTACAATATGATTACAATTGGTCAAAAGTTTTCAAAAATCATGAGAGGTAAAAATGGAGGGGAAAAAAAGCAAAGTCACAATGGCATATGCTTCATTTCTTTAGCAAACTTGGATAAAAGCAGAGCACGCATGCAAACTTAACACCATAAAAATGTCTTTATGTTGGCTCACTAGAAAAGTTTGAGTTTTTCATTAAGCCTACACATCACTTTCAACAGATGACCTTTAAAGTAGTCTGTAAAACATACTTAGAGCCAGCTTGCTCTTAGCATTATACGCTCATGACGCTTCCCCTAGAATAACTATTCATATGTATTTTGTTACAATACTTTACCTGCTGGAGAACACAGAGAAGGCAGGTCAGACAGTATAGTAACAGTGGCAGCCACAAGACGAGCACTTTCCTCAGAAAGATGAGATTTGGCAGATACATGACTTGGAGAATCTGACACTTTTGAACTTAGATGTGGCATGTGCCGTACTAGGATAAACATGAGCAGTTCCATGGCCGCAAAGACTAGAGATTTTCCAGGCACAAGACCACCACTTTCACCTCCCTCTCCTAAAGGAAGGCAATTTTCTTTATCCTCAATGTCATCTTCGTCTGAAAAAAGGAAAGAAATGTCTGAGCAGATAGTTCAAAAAGGAACATTAAAAAAACACTACCTTGAAACATTCTGCAAAAAGATAAAGTCATGAAAAAAGAGTTGCTTCACAGTTAGATATGACAAACGTGGCTCATGTTAAACTAAATGCTCCAGTCAGAATGACCTAAAGGAGTTTAACATCCTTTAGAAGTATTATGACTACAATAGTACATTTTTAAAATCCACCTAGAACTAGAAAAAAGTAATATACAAAATAAAAATGCAGCAATTATTCTACTTTTTTTCTTTCAAATCTAATGGCAAAACTAACTGCAATGATTGCCAAATAAACCGTCATGGCAATATTTCTTAATTTAATAGCTATAAATTAATGTTTCACTCTGCCAAAATCTTATTTCAGTCTAAGCTGATTATGTAATAAGAGAACAGAAAAGCACTGTAGGATTCTGTGTCTGGCTTCATGATTTCAGGGGGTTCAGTTCAAAAAGTCTCTTTTGAATGGCAGCTCAGCTGGCTGCAGCTTTTCCTTCTCCCACTAAACATTCTGTCATTAAACAGCAACAGAGATTCACAAGTCAAAGCTGGCCTACACTACCCCTATGGAGCCCTTACGAATTCAAATGATTTGCTCTAATGTTATCACATTAATTGACTTGAAAAATGCAACTTACTGGGCCTATGGCAAACAATGCCATTAATTCACAAGAAGTAGCAGAGCTCACATTTTTAGCTGCATTGACTCTTCAAATTCCAGCAAAATCCTCTCCCTATTTTTGTGTGGAAAATGGGTATAAGTTAATAATCTTTTTCTAACAGTATATCATGCCAGACCAAGAAGGTAGTTTGCCTTAGCAAGATAAACATTCTTTGGGGTTTGCTTTGTTTCTTTCAGGTAAAATAAACATAGCAGACCTAACCTAATCAGACATCAGTAAACTGTTTGCCAGGTTGCCAGTTGAAAATAATTTACCTACAGAAGATGGGTACATCCTATGTGAAACTGCTAAAGAATTGGTAAAGGAAAGATTAAAGATAAAGATGCTCTGTTAAAAGGAAGAGTTTACTAATCGTACCTCAGAGTAGCATTTGGACTGATGTCAATACCCCCATCAAGGATCTTCTCACATAAAGTAGACACAAACTAATGAAATTTGCTGATGAAAAGCTTAAGCAAAACATCAGAAGCTGAAATGTCACACCAGAAGAAGGGATAAATGAAATGGGAATGAGCTGTAGTAGTGCTTAATATAAACAAAGGTAGAGGAACATGATTTGGGTATACCTGTTGATCAGAGAATCTCAGAAAAATTAAAGTTGAGAGGGACCTCCATAAGTCATCTGAGTCCAACCTCCTGCTCAAAGGAGGGCCAACTTGAAATCTACAGCAGGTTGCTAAGGGCCCTGTTTGGTCAAGTTCTGCGTATCTCCAAGGATGCAGATGCCTCAGTCTCTCTGGGTACCTGTCCTATTGCTTAACCACTCCCATGGTGATAAATTTTTTCCTTAAATCCCAATAGGATCTCCTTTACTGCAACTTGTCCACTGCCTCTTGTCCTTTCAACATGTGCCCTTCAGAAGGCTCTAGCTCAGTCTTCTCTATAAACCCCCTTTAGGTAAGCGGGACTGCTATTCAATCCCCTACTAACACTCTCTTCTGCAGACTAAAGCTCAGCTCTCCCAGCCTCTCCTCATATATCACATACTTTAGCTCCCTAAGCATCTTGGTGGACCTCCATTGCACATTCTTCAGTTTGTCAATACCTCTCTTGGTGGGAGGAAAAACTAGACACTGCTCCAGATGCGGCTTTACAAGCACAAGTTGAGAGGAACGATCATGTCCCTTGATCTGCTGGCCATGATTTTCTAATGCAGTCCAGTATGTAATTGGTCTTCATCAGCACATAGGCACATTGATGACTCACATTCAACTCATTACCCACCAGAAATCCCCAGGTCCTTCCCTGCAAAGCTGTCTTCCAGTCTGTCAGTCCCCAGCCTGTACCAATGCATGGGGTTATTCCATCCCAAACACAGATTTTTGCAATTGCTCTTTTTGAACTTTGCCTGGTTTTCACTCCTACAGCCCGCTGAAAACCCCATGAAATGTAACACTGTCCTCCAGTGTATCAATCACTCCCACATTTTGGTGCCATCCACAAACTTGCTCAGGGTGTATTCTGTCCTAACATCCAGGCTGTTAATAAAGACATTGAACAGCAGCACCCCAATATTGAACCTTGAGGAACATCACTTGCAACCAGCTGCCAGTTAGATTTGAATTACTGAACTCCACTCAGGCACAGCAGTCCAAGGAGTTATTTACCCACCTTGCAGTCCACCCATCCAGTCCACATCTTTCCAATTTGACTACAAGGATACTGTGGGGTACTGTGTCAAAAGCCTTGCTGAAGTCAAGTCAATATCCAGCACTCTCCTTTCATCCACGGAGCCAGTCATCTCATCATAGAACATGATTAGGCACTATTTGTCCCTGGTAAATCTGTGCTGGCTGTTCCCAAACACCTTGTTCATGTACTCAGAAAGCATACAGGAGGATTTACTCCAAAATATTTCAGCACACAAGATAGGCTTACTGGCCTGTAGTTCCCCAGAACCTTCTTCTTGTCCCTCTCTACCCCCACCCCCTTTTTTGCCTTCCCCTCCCTTTTTGTTTTCCCCTCAAGTCAGACATAACATCTGTCTTTTGCCATTCATTGCAAACCTTTCCTGAGTACCACAGCCTTTCAAAGACTGACAGTAGCCTCAGCACGTCATCAGCCAGTTCCCTCAGATGCATCCCATCTCGTCCCAGGGTATGTCCAGCTTTTACTTAAGTAGCCCCAAACTCAGTGCTCACCTACTATAGGGAGTAATTTTCTCCCCCAAACTCTGTCACTAGACAGAGAGAAACGTGAGGGCTAAGAACAGACTGTACCACTGAAGGTCGAGGCAAAGGTGGTATCGATTGCCTCAGTTTTTCCAATGAAGCTAGGTCATCCACCGCATTCAGCGGCAGGGTCGCGTTTTCCTTGGTCTTTCTTTTGCTGCTAACATACCTGTTGAAGTCCCTCTTGCTACCTTTCACATCCATCGCCAGTTTCAACTTCAGCCAAACTGTGATTTTTCCAAATTTCACTCCTTCATACCTGGGCAGGTGTCTTTATTAGTCTTCCTGAGAAGCTTGTCCACACTTTCACCTTCTATACACTTCCCTGTCGCCTTTGGACTCAGGTTGGAGTTCCCAATTCAGCGAAGCCAGCCTCTTGCCACGAACATTTGGCTTCCTGCATATCATCCTGAGCTGTTTAGGTGGGTTTTTTTTTTTTTTTTTTTTGAACGTCTTTGAAGATTAATAATCTATCTGCCTGTGCCCTTCCAGGCAACTTACTACAGGATCATCTGCAAGGTCAGACGCCCAAGTCTGCTGAGCCCAGGACTTCCAGTCTGCCATTTGCCTTCCTCACTTCCCTCAGGATCTTGAGCTCCACCATCTCCCGGTTGCTCCGCTGAAGGCTGCCATCAACCTTCACATCCCCAATCATTTCTTCTATACTGGTAAGTATGAGATCCAGTGAGCATCTCCTTGCTCACTGTCCAATACTTGTGCCAGAAAATTGTGCCTCCTACAGTTACTCCTGAAATCTTCAAATTACTAGCAGCCTGCAGTGTTGCCCTTCCAGCAGATGGTGAGATGGTTAAAGTCTATCGTGAGTTTCCTAGACCCTGCAACTGGAAGGCTTCTTCCAGTAGTTCTAAAATTGCTTCAGGCACCTCCTCTTTTTGATCAGGCAGTCTGTGGCAAAGCAGAAGAGAGTTCCTGACCACTATCATTCTCTATTTCCTCTCAGTGGTACCAGTTCTGACTTGTCAAAGAGGCATTATTGGCCCAAATTCCTTCCCTGACAACTTCTTCCTTCTCTCTTCTTGCCAGGGCCCTATGCTCCATCTCCAGCCAAACATCTGGAGATGGAGCAAGCCTTTTGTTGCTGGAAGTCATAAGCTTGCAACCTCCACTACCGTGGGAGTCCTACACTCCCCCTATTCCAGCATAGCCTCTGGTTGTCCTTCCTCCTGTGACATGCAGAACCTGGGTTACTGCCCACAGTTCTCCCTATGAAGAATGTGTCATTCTCCCATTTGCCTTCCCTGACATTACACACACAGTCTGCTCACCTTCATGTGCATTACCTTCACATCCCACAGGTGAGACCGCTATCACCCCCAGCCCTGGCTGCAAAGACGAGAAACTGGAGGACAGCCACAGCAGGACTTTCACCTGAATCTCAAGCCAGGTCTCTGATTTATTAGACCTCTGATGCGCCAGAGGTGATTGCTCCCGCTCAGACAGGGGACTGTGCCTTGCTATGTGTCACTGTCATCATTGTGCTCTCTCTAGCAGTCTTGTACAGTCTTGAGCAGCACCTCTGGGCTCCATGAGCACTCTTTTCCAGTGCCAACTGCCTTGCTCCTGTTTGCACACCCTGTTCCCAGAACTCCTGGTTGCTGACACTCCCTAAGTGTCAGGTGAGTAAGAGGCCAGATGCAAGCCTGCTTCACTTCCCTGTAAGATCTTCTGGTTGTCAGGCAAATATCTTCTGGTTCCAGCAACAGTTCACTCACATCACAAACACCAGTTCTGCCAAGTACACACCACAGGACCCTATATATGGTGTTGAAACTGTTAAACTTCAGGAAAAAAAAAAAAGCAAACGGAATGCTAGGATGCTGTCAATAGAGAAATATTAATGAAACTGAGCAAGGTACTGGTAAGACCTTACTGGTTTGCTGGGCATACTTTCGGTCACCCACGTTCAAGAAAAATGAATTAAAATGATGACATGAAGAGAAAGACCGTTAGGCTGATCAGAAGTAGAAAAACTGCATCTTACAGGAGCTGAGAAATCAGCAGGTGAGATTATGAACATATCAAAAGGATCTGTGAAATACACAGCAATTTTTTCCTCAGTGTACTCTCATGTATTTTAATGTCCTTCCCGATATGAAAACCTGTTGCTTATTTACTCTGCAAAACAAGGTGTGTTTTCAAAGTCTTACTTAGGGTGTTCCTTTTTTCCTGCAAATAATCTTGAGCTGCTCTTACTATCTGCTGGACAACTCCTGTTACTAGTAGCTGCACTGAAGGAGGATCCCAGGTCAGGAGGAGTCGGTGAAGCACACTCAAGAGTTCAACACCAAGGAGCTACAGTAAAACAAAATACACATTAAAAAAATGAATTAGGACTTAATAACTCCTAATGTCGCTTGCTTACGATAAGCAAATCCTTTTCTCACATAAAAATAATTACAGGTTTTGTAATCATCGTAGATGAAAGATCAAGATCTATGAAAGCTAACTGTTGCAACACACTAAGAGAAAGAATTGAATACAGTACCTGATCCTCTGCAATATGGATCCTAGCACAAGGTGAATCCAATAAAGTATGAAGTGCTTGTAAACAAGATGTAACATGCTCAACAGGCTCTTCAGGTCGCGGGGAACAGAGAAACTGTATACTGACACCTGAAAAGAACAAAAACTAAAAATGTTCATATTTAAAAAACAAAAATATTTCTTCTTTTTAAATTTATTTAAAAACACGGAACGTTCTTAATGTCTTCAGAAAGACACATGTATTTCCCAATTCTGTTTTCCTTTAAAGGAAAAGAGAGTTTCTATGTATTAGAAATACAGGACTGTATTCTCTTCCTCTTCTGCACCCTGTTTCCCCAAATTTTGGCAAGAAAACAAGTAAATATTCACAGCCAGTAACTTAGAGGACTGAACACAAATTCATGCTTTGTTCTAAAGATCTGTAAGTTAGAATTCTGCATCTTTCAATTGTAAATTGAGTTTTATTTTATCTTGGTTATTTTTATGTTTAAAAGTTTGATAAAGCTAAGGTTCAAAAATGTAGTACACATATAGCACATAACTCCAGTTTTAAACATCTGTATATTTGAGCAATCTGTTGGCATTCCTCAGAATATCCGATCCCATTCACTACTAAAAGTTGTTAGATAACAAATTGAAACAGGGAGCGCTACCCAAAGATGAAAAAAGGGACGCAAAAGCTAGCCCATGTGACTTGTCAAATATCAGCCTCTACTGAACTGTGTTTTTAATCAAGCTGCGTATTTTAATTAGTCCTACAGCTTTAGGGTCTTTGAAAGAACACAGTTCTGCAGATAAGCAAATAATATTTTCTGTTATCTGAATTTTATGACAGCACGGGACAGTAACTAGTCATTTTATTCTTCAATTATATAAATAAACCAGATATAAAGCTGGTCTATTAAAAAAAAAAACAAAACAAAACCACACACACACACACACACACATAAAGAGAGACAGACAGACATATTTCCAAACTTTAGTGTCCCAGCAGATATGCAATGCTTTCACATTTTAAATGATCTCGATTTTGCACAAAATATTTTTTTCTTATTCCTGTAATGTGCTGGCACTGAACTCTAAACTCATAACTCTTACCCAAAATCAAGTGCATTCGATCTTTGTTTATCTCTGGCAAAGATTTAATGGTTGGTGGAGTTCCAGGTGTCTGGTTTAACATTACAGACGTAGCACGTTTCTGTGAATTAGGCATCACTGCAGCAGCCTCTTCTGTGGACTCAGAAGCATTAAATCCTGCACTATTTAGCCAAAGTGCCACTGCATGTAGTATGGGAGCCCAAGAGTTTCGATAATGTAGTCTAGCTGTGTCAATTGTCTCTGGAGTGTAAAATGCTCCCCCTGTTAAGTTAGCAAAGCAAAAGTAAATTCCGAAATTCTCTGCATACAACAGACAAAAAGCACATACTCTAAATTCATCACTGGATCTGCTCTGGGTGTGTTTGACCACGCACATGTTCAGATGTAATCCTTGTTACTGACAGCGCATCCCAATTCTCTGTGTGAATAAGCAACCTTAATACTTCTCATAACAAACTGCAATGGACATGATGGAATAGTAAGCAGAGAGCAAGAGGGCAGGCAAAGACATCGGGTCTTGCAGCACTCCTCATACGGAGCGCTCCTAGTACTTCGCCGAGTTAAGAATAAGACAGTATCTACTCTAATTTCAAGGGCAGACTATGCTTTTCATATAATAAACATCAACATCTTTTTACATTTAATATTCAAGTATTAGAAGTAACTGAAGCACTCTTATTTTCGGAAAAACGTGGTTTTAGTGATCTCTGATCATAGTTCAGATACAGAATATCTTCACTGAAGACTGCAGAAATAAAAACTCACTCAAACTTTAAAATTTCCACCTATACATAATAAGAATGTATGTTACTATGTGCACGTTTTTAAATAGAAAAAGAAGAAAAAAGATGTCTGCCAAATAATGTATAGACAAATTTTAAAATCTCACCTAAGAGTTTCATTCTGTCCTTCATGACAACACAAAAATAAATTTCTGTGCTTACCATCTGGTGGAAGCTGAGTAGCAAATTCAGCTGGTAAAGTTAAAAGAGCATAGTCTTTCAGTGCAGCTAACCAGAGTCGGCTCAATGCAGGTAGCTCCGGCTGTACAAGTGTTATCAAACTGTCTGGTGGCAACTCATCTACAGCACCAAAATCATCATCATCATCATCCGTGCTCTTTGAAACACGCTTCGGTTTGGTCTCTGCTTCCTTCTTAATTTTCATGGCAACAACGTACACCTAAGGAGCAAGACAGATATGAAAATATAGGCTGTAAAATGCTAAAAAGAAAAAAAAAAAAAACAGCAGCCTTCCCCAGTGAAAATAACAGATTCTATAAACAGATGATTCACAGTTTAGCCCCTGTAGGTCGTAAACGCTATTAGATTTTCTTTTTTGTGAAGTCCATGAAAAACATCCAGAAAAGGACTTGGGGGGTGAGAGAAGGGGGAGAGTGGGAGAGTGAGAAAGAGATCTGCACTACAATTACATTTTATTTAAATATTTTTGCTTTTATTTCTACCAGTATGTAACATTTAGGGACATAAATAGCACCCTCCTAAAACAACCTGGCTGCACGTACTTTTTCTGTGCTCACCACAGATAGATTTATTGACCTATGTTAAGAGCTGCTATACAAGTCAGAATAATTTGCAATTTCTGGAAGCAGATTAGATATCGTAAAAATAAAGGTGAAATGGCTTTGAATATGGGCAACATGAATACAAGAGCATATACGACTGTCTTTGACGGATGCTATAGGAGCTAAGGGAGGATATTCAAACAGTTAGATAAATAACGTGGAAATAATCAGAAATATCACAAAAATACAGTAAAGGAATATATTTAGAATAGTACAGAAATAAGTGTCTTCACACAACAGATGCTCTACCTGCTCTATCAAAACTGAAAATAACAGTACAGGGTGATTAACACTACACGGCTGAAGTGTCATATTTTTCCTTTAATAGGTTCAAAAGTAATTTCCAAGAAAATTTAAGGTAAAGAATCCTTACAGTGCTGCTCTAAAAGAAATTAAATATCATTTGTGTAATTACATGTAGAGCTCTATGGCATGCAAGTAACATTTTCAGAAGCAAGGCAACATAAATATTGCTCATTCCACCTTTGGAGATATTTCCAAGATTTCTGGTACTCCAGCCATTCCCCATCACCTACATTAAGCCCGTAATTTATTGCCAACACTTCGGGAAATTCCTAACTAATTAAATACAATATTGAACCACAATATCTTTTAAGTATTTTAATTTATGAGCAGTAAGATGAGAAGAAAATCAAAATCTGACAGGAAACGGGCATGTACTTTAATACACAAAAACACAGTAGTGGGAAAGAACAAACACACACCACTATAAACATGGACAAACAGGATGAAAAATTGAGCACGGCAGAAAAAGAAATGGAGAAAGACAGAGAGGAATGTATACAGAGAGAGAAAGAAAAGCCACTAAGAAGGATGGAAGGCTCACTGGCTGAACAGATAGTGAGGTGTGAGGCTGCTATTATGCTGCAAAATCCTTTCAAAAGTTTAGAGATTTAATGGTAAATGTTTACCTCAGCCCATGCTTTCAGAACTGCAAGTTTTTCCATAGTAGTGGCGCTCTCTCGGTAAAGCCGGCTAGAAGATCCCTTTCCTGCTTGCACTTTATCCAGGGAAGAGACAAGGAGGTTGTGAACTCGGCGGAGATCGTTCAGGTCACTTACAACCCCACTTCCTATCCATGTGCTACATACCTAAACAACAAAGTTCAAAATCATTGTAAACTAGCAGGGGGAAAAAAAAAAAAAAACCTTTATAAATGAAAATTTTCTAAAACAAAACTTAGTAGCTCTCTTCCTGCTTAACATCACAAATATGAGATTTTCCTTTTTCATCCCCATACTGATGGAACTGCTCACAAGTGGTTACAAAGACTATATTTGTAAATTGTATTGCAATGGCAACTTGGTAAACAAATCGAAAATACATTGCACAATACTTAAAATAGCTTTTTAATCCTCCATAAATACGTAAAACAAAGTTTTTATTCCCTTCCCAAGTGTGTGCCAAATCACAAAGGTATGATTTGGTCATCCCATTCATTTTGAACTATATATCAGTCAGCAATCCGTAGCAGTATGTTTTTTTTAAAGTCAACAACTCGCAAATTTTGTATTAAGGTTCCAGAACAATGGGAGGCTTTCAAGCACATCAACTACTTCAAGAAAACACCTGTAAAGGCATGAGCTAAAGCCTCCAAACAGCTGGGCTCTTATGTGGAACCAACAATATCACATCCTAGAAAGTTAATACCAAGTTAATAAAAACAGGTGCTTAAAATCCAGGCATCACACAGATCAGCTGCTCACGTCTTGTGCTATGCACTGGCATTCGCCCTCCGAAACACATTCACACCCACACATACGGAAGGCAACGGAAGAATTCTGGTGCAGCTGCTTTTTTACAAAAAGAAAAAGTGACAAAGTCTCTCTTTATACAAATGAGCAGCTTTAATTGTGGTGGAGATTCTACAGGGATAAGGAATATAAGCAAAAACCACAGAACTCAAGAGTCTCAGGTTTTTCAAATTTTTTTTTTTTTTAAATTAATGGTATTCTTGTCTTATCTCCAATTTATTCATTTATTTTGATTTTAGAGAACTGATTCTATGGAAGCCTTTGGGAAGGGGTCTCCTGACCAGAATAATGAGTATATCTGAAGTATATATAAACTGATGCTGTCAGTTTATATATACAGCACTGAGGGTGCACTGGACAGGACTGCTGAAAATATCTTTGTAACAAACCCATAATTCATTCACAGCAGGACTAAGACCAGTTTCACTCCTGCTGCTGGTCAAGTTAACAACTCTGTTTCAGTAATGACATATAAAACAGTAACAATATCCAGCTCATTCAGTGCAGCTCGTCTCTACCCACATCATTTCTAAAGAGAGAGTTAAATATCCAGACTTGATCTCCAACTATCTGATCCTGTAAGCGTTCATGTCCACTGTGAAACTTGTTCAATAGGGAAGACTTGGACCACTTCCAAAGAATTTTACATGTTTTCACACAAACTGTCTCTTCCTCTAGCTTAACTTTCCATAAGGTAAAATGGATACCTTCTTTGGAACGTATAACAAGAAATTATACCAATATTTGACCTATGATTACAAGTTTTGCTGCCAGCGAGGAGTATAAAACAATAAAAATCAAGGTCCTGTTGGACCAAAATCTATCGAATAAAACTCCCACATATACAACATTATCCTATTAAAACTGATGTCTGCATAGATAATTAACTGAGGATTTAAACTACAGTAGTAGTTTAACTGATTTAAACTACAGTAAATAGATGACTCAAACTACTTATCTGATACAACTATAGCTATGCAGCTGATAGCTGATTTAAAACTAGTACAAGACCATACTAAAGAAAAAAACCAAAAACCTTTCACTGAATTTTCACTGTCGGGTTGTTACTATGACTAATGAGAATGCTGAGAACGTCGCAAATCTAAGACAGTCTTAATCTGAATAAAACTATAAAGGTAAATCAGCATTAATCGAAAATACTTGATCAAGTTGAAAGGCATCTCAGCAAATACATTAGCATCAGTCTCGCTGTGCGAATAAAATTTTCAGCAAAGAATGCAGAATTGACACGGAGACCTAACTAGTTCCAGAAAGACTAAGTATTTTCTGATGAATTTACAAAATTTTCCAGCTCTTTACTACTATTTTTCTTCTGCATCCTTCTTCCAAAGGAAAGGAAATTATACACATCAACTCTTAAAATGCATGACATGGATTCAGTTTGGATTATGCCACCTGAGTATTTTCCTCTGTACCTGGCAGGCCTTTGCAGTTATATCTGATGGAGTATCTTGGGAAAAAGCTGGCCTCAGAGCAGCTCCAACCTATTTGTAAGAAGAAAAAAAATCCAACTAAAATAATTGAGACTTAACATTCTTCATCTAATCGCAATCAAGGCTAAAGCATATATACAAAATGAACAGATAGGATTGTAAATTTGACATTCTAATTATATCAAAAAAAAATCTTCATTTTTCCCTAGCAGATACTTGCTATAGTATTCCTTAAGCAACAACAAAGTCCTCAACTTTTTCCTGCTTTCCCATTGCCTTTTTAAGTTTCAATTACCTTCAACTACCTCAATCACTTATTAGTGCACCAGAAGACAATGATTTTTTGATATCCAAAAATGTGAAATCAAACATTTACGGTTGGATTTGCGTTAAGTTCGCTAGCATGACGAATGCTGTCCTTCTGAGACAGTATTTTTCCCAAAAAAAAAAAAAAAAAAAAACAAGTCAAAGGGACAGAAGCAATAGTCAGAGCACTATTAGAAGGAAGGAGAAAGAGACAGGAGTAGACAAGGATGAAAACCTGTCTTTAAAAAGGATTTGCCAAGATCCTGAACACACAACAGCAGAACCGGATGCTTGGGGGGCGGGGGAATAGCGGTGAGGGGGACTTAGAAGGTGCAGAAGGCACAGGACAGTAAAAAAGACAAAGAAGAAATTAGTGCAATTGCAGGACTGAGTCCAGAGCTGGTCTAATCACTCTTGTAGACAGAAAGAAAAGGCCTACATCTCAACTGCTCTTCATCATCTCTTAATATATTTCCATATGCATGGCATATATTTCCAGCACGTAACAAATTAAAGATGCCATATTGCCCTCCTAATTCTAATACAAAGTATCCCCATTCAAATAGCTATTTCTGTACAAGAATCAAAAGGAGGTATTCTGTCACCTCTCCAAAGCTCCTTCTACGTACCAGCGAACTATCTCAGATTATTCTTAAGTTAAAATGCAGTCTACAAACCACACACACTCAACGGTTTTAAAGACTGATTAACATGCATCAGCAAAACATAACTGGTATGTTCCAAGGAAGACAAGACTGATAAAATCAGATATAATTAGTCCATCTGTAAAATAAAAAGTGAATATAAATGTTCCCATAAGACTAAAAGGATAGTCACTTCAAACATTCTCGTTTCCAAAGCAACAGGAGATCAATCACATTTCGAGTACTGTTAGCAAAGAAATTACAATGCAGGGAAAGTATTTATTTGAAAAGAAAGAGGACAAGGTTCATAATATGATCCTTGCCTCTGCATATAATATAGCACCATTACTTTCTCCAACAGTTTATACAAATAGTACAATGATAAGAGGAGAACAAACGAGATCCTATTGCTTTAAAAAAATCAGCTTTTGTTTTATAATCATACATAAATTTCTCTCTCATATTTATCAGCGTGGGAAACACGCCCCCAAAAACTGGGAAACTCGACCAAGTGAAAACCTGATCTTGCAATCATTTATCAAAGGGATAAATGCAAATATTGAAGTCAGTGGGACAAGTCACACATGCAGTTGTCCGCAAGGTTAAGATCTATTCAAATAGAGAGAACAAGAGAAACAGCAGAGCTGAGTACAGCTGCAAGCCAGTCAGATATGCAAAGTCAACAAAAAAAACCTCTTTGAATTGCACTATCCTAAAGCTTTAGTCACTGTAAGCAAACCTCAGGCAAAAGATGACTTTTAGGCAGGGCAGGTATTTTTAATAGTTAAATTCGCAGTTTTGACACTTCAGTATTATCAAAATTGAAATTTTTAAAAGCAAAGATAGAGGGCATACAAGAGTTAAGCAACTCAACAAATTAAATTGATACCCAAAATAAGTCTTAAACTGCCCAGCTCCGATTCCTATATTTTTGTAGCTTTCTCATTTAAATAGAAGTATTTTCATTAATTCCTAAGAAAACAGATTTATTAGGTTCAATATGGAATTAAATGTACCTTTTAATATTTGGCTTTCAGGAATGAATAGCTACTGATTTTTTAACTTTGTCAGTCACTAAATTATAATAAATAGAAAGAGATCTAGAAATGAATTTTGAAGAGGTAAATAAAATAGTCTCTTCAGTACATTTTCACACATAAAAAAGCTCTTCACAGCTCTTTTGAAGTTACAAAATGTTCTGAAAGCTAATACTGGCATATTGGCATAAATACACAATTTCCTAAACTTATAAAGGAGGTCTCACATTAGCCTGATACTGCTCCAGTATCACATGGCCTGGAAACTCTGGCTCAGGAACCGATGCAAATTTCTTGATAATGTCTTCAAGAGCTTGGAGACCCGCCATTCGTAACTGGTTGCTGTGATCAGTCGCTGCCATGAACGCCATTCGAATAAGGTCGGAAAGATGGAGCACTAAGAAGTCATCTTAAAACAGAACCAAAACAAACAAAAAAAACAAAAAGCCTATTAAAGAACTTTAAAGCTGACACCTATCAGATATTTGTAACTTTTTCTTCATTGATATGCACAAATGTCACCTATTCTTTTTCAAAGGTCTACACTTAAGGTGTGGGAGAAGGCAGGTAAGAAGGCAACTTTTTTTTTTTTTTTTTTTTTTTTAAATGATACCTGCACCTTACTCCTAAAAAAAACACCTTAAAATTTTAAGCACAAATATGAAACAAAGTGAAATAAGAGATGTACAAAAATTGCATTGAATAGAAAATTGTAAATGTGGCTGAGGCAGCTTATAAGACATTAAGATACTTAATAAAGCTAATTTTACTGTTTTTTTCCTCACAGCTACAGAAAAACTTTAACAGCAATTGCTGTTAGAGTCCTATACTTATAGTGACCTCTGATGATAAAGGACAACTTCGTCAAGTTGAAATCCAAAAACTGAGTATGCCTCTACTTCTGCTCCCAAAAGCTGCATCCAAGGTCAGAAGTAATAGAAGAAAACATGCAGAAAAGAAGAATGATACTTAATTCAATAACATTTCTGTAAGGGTTATTTTTCTCTCTTCTTATTCATTTTATTTCTCTCTTGACCTTCAGCTTTACATTACCAGATGCTGTACAATTAATATGAAAATAAACCATTTTAAAACATAATATCCAGGGTGATTAATAACAAAGAAAAATCACAAATTATTAAAGCTCTAGATATTTTCAAGTCTCAAGGAAAAAAAAAAATATTGCAGTTAAAATTTTTCAGAGGCATGACCTTAAGGAAAGGCTGAAAAATCATTAACAAATTAGCAACACATAGGTAATTAGTAAAATAGATAATAAATTAGTAATCAGATTTTAACAGTAAGTAAAATTAGGTAAGGCCTAACATTGCTAGTTCAGGCCATAATAAATACCAGTAAAATGTAAATATTTTAGAAGTTTAAGGTGGGAGGGGAGGGTTGCTGGGTTTTTCTTTTTTTTTTAAATAATACCAAATACACCGAGTTCACTTTAAATATCAAATTCGGAGATATAACACAAAGCCTTCATGAACCCTATACGGTGAAAGCAAACAATTACCATGCACCAGAACGAATACATATGGATGATCAAAGGACAGACACCTCCCATTATCAGTCAAAGAAATATTTTTCAGAAACCAACCATCTCATCTCTCTCAGTTAAGATCCTCCAAGTCAAAAGAGTATCTTGAAAGCAGGAGCTTTAAAACTAATACTCTTCACTCTCATGGATATCAAAATAATGAACTTAATAAAGCAGTAGGCTTCATGGCATATTACCACTCCCTCCCACATCCCTAACCCCGCACCAACCCCACAGCAATAATTACTTGGCCTTATCAACTCTTCTTTTTCTAGCATACCTTTGCTCTGCAGATGCTAAAATAACCTCTGAAGTCTGAATCATTCCTGTCCTGTCACTAAACTCGGGGCAACTGTTCCCGGCTCACACTTAGCTAGAAGTTTGCTGCTTCTATTGCAAATTGGAGAAAAAGTTTGCAAATCCGGAAGGTTTTTTTCCGATTAGATCAGTCTGTCAACAACAGAAGCTATCTCCTCCAGCAACCCTCAACCCTTCGTGTTCATGCATGCTCTAACAGTTACACAACCACAGTTTTATTGCCTTTTGCTGGACATAGCTTCTGTTTTTAACCATTTGCATGAAAGGATGTTCACCTTACTTTTAACCACTTACATTTCTATCTTAGCTGCATAATCTTAAAGAGGTGTCAAATTAAAAACAAAAACAAAAAACAAGTATGCACGTTATGTAATTACTTTTGGGGTTTTTAAGTCTGGCTGAACGGGCCATTGCCAGATCAAAGTGCGCCTTGTTTGCATTCTCACACAGCATGATAACTCGACACAGACAGTCAGCTGCAAACACACGAGTTGCCCAACGAGGTGCTACAGAAGGCTTAGATTTATCTTCTTCACCCAGGGTGGTGAACATTGTGTCATCATCCATCTCCTCCTTCTTCTCCGATTCCTCATCCTTCCCTCCTCCCAAGGGAGCTGCAGTGCTCATGTCTGCAACACAGAACAATGGAAGAAGAAAAAAAAAATAAAAAAGCACTATTATAATCTGCAGACAGACATTTCAACAAGGAGGCTGCCAGGCCTTTCTTTATACTCAGATTCAAAACAGACATTCTTCTGCGGAAACAGCAACATTTGGAAAATGTAGAAGGATATAGGAATATCAGTAAAAGGAAAGTTTTTCACCCCTAACTCTGGGCTACATTATCCTTTATTTGGTTTAAAGGATATGAAATGAATTCCTTCAACATTAGTTCTCCACAGATACCAACTATAGCAAATCCCATATCTAAGCTCCTCAACTTTGAAAATTAACCTATGAAACTATCAATAAACAGAGTAAGGAGTTTACGAGGCTCAGAATCAAAGAACTAGCTTGGCCTTGAACTATTCAAGTAAAAGCTAAGCGTGCACATTAAACTGAAACAAAACTAAATTCTGTGCCATGGGACAGACATACAACCAAGTGGACAGTTTATGGCACCTACAAATATGCTTAATGCGCAAATAAAAATTCCTTTCTTTAAATGGGGCTATGAGATTTCATTTCAGAAAATAACAAAACTTCAGGGATCACAGGAGGAAGAAAAAAAAAGGGGAACAAAAACTAACTCACCAAACATGCATCTACACTCCTACTATTCAAATATCAGCACATGAAATCTCAGTGCTCAGCTGTAAATTAGCAGAACGCCAACATACTGACAAAAATCACTCTGGTAATAGCCAGAGGAGAACAAGAAGAAATTATTGCAAGGGTAACCTACCCCAACTAAGGCATACTTCTTAGGAAGTGCAAATTTAGGCAGCTGAAAAGCCAAGACACTCAATAGGGAGAGAGGCTATGACAAAGCAAACATGGATGAAGCCAAGTCACAACAAGAGTGTTTTGAGAAAGCATCCAGGAAAACTTATGTAAATCTCTGCTTAAAAAACAAAGTAGATTTTGTTCATATGCCAGAGTTACTTGGATCAAAGAGTTCAAACTGAAGTTGCTGGCTTATTAAAGTACAGCGGAGTGAAATGTATTTAAATATGGTTCTTTCAGAGGTTATTTCAGCTACTGAAAAAAAAGTCACAAAGAAGAGATTGGACAAACGTGTTAATAACTTTAAAACTCATCCCACATGAAATAAGAGAAGGACATATCCACTTCAAACTTGGGAAACAAGAGGCCATTCTCACTTGGCAGATATACTGTAACTACATGGCATAAAGAAATTGTTGGTTGCATTACTCATCAGTAAACATAAAGTTGGCCACATTTAGGAAGAGCTTCAAGATGAACTCACAGGATGCCAATAAACAAGTATAAATGCAAGGGAAACGAGCAGAATCTGCGTCACAACCATCCTAAAAGCTGAAAAACAGGAATAAGGTCTCTGAGGACAAGATCTTTGCAAACAAGTCTGCAAAGCTGAACAACAAGCAAAAAACTCCCGTCACCATGGCAACCCATCATCACATCAGTGACTCAAAAAACCTCATGAAAGAAAGCTCAGAGCATGACCAGCACTCTTCCTTCTGCATGGTCCTGATGTATAAAGGTTAAAAAGAATACATCTCCTTTTACTACAACATACTGAAAAGTCAGATTAATGACCACATCGCTCCCCGCTGGAAATTCTACTTTCTAAAGGATAACTTTTAAATCTTAAAAGAAAGAAATACTTTTTAAAATGGACCAAAATATTGACGACTTTCTCTTTCTGAGCAAGTCTTAATGCACCATAGTCTAAGTTCTATACGCAGCATTAAGTTACAGCATGCATCTTTGCTATAACAAAAGACAAGCTCCAAAGAAGCATTGCCAGACAATGCTAATACTAGGAACACACTGTCTTCTCATGCAAATGCTACAGAACACTTACCACTGGAAGCTGCAAGAACATCCTTACAAAGCATTAGCCAGTGAGACAGGTTTTCTACTGCCAGTGATGAAAGCATATGTCCTAGAGTGTCATGGATATCAGAGCACAACTTCCGATCAGTCTCCCGATCCAACATTCCAAAAAGGACACCCTCGAGGCCCGTCTCTGTTATATTAACTCCCTGATGCCGGGAATGAATATCTCGCCGAGAACCAGCTCCAGGGGCAAAAGGATTAATATCTGTAAAATGATAGTGAAGTAACTTTTCTGAAATTAATGACTCAGTTTTAAAACTGGGAGTAACAAACTAGAATTGGACATTTTGCATTCATGTGCATACAGTTCAGGCAGTGGTATATAAAGATGTTACTAAATTTCTTCTGAATTAACATTAAAAAGCTTTTAATAAAGCAATTCATTAAATTTATTTTCTGCCAGGCAATTTAAATCTCCTAGGATTAATTAAAAAAATAATAATCTATTTCTGTTCAAGGTACCTACCCTGTCTTTTTGTAGAAATGCCTAATAGCATTGGACTCTACAGAATCCTTTCACAGACAGACTTAATTGGTTTGATCTAATACTAGTATGTTCACAATTCTGTGTTCATATGAAGAAAACTTTGCTGATCAACACTGTTGAGCCTTCCATTTTCAGAATGAAATGTTACACACAAAACTGAACCACCCAGGAAAGCCCAAAGGCTGGTAGATGTGCCGCTAACAGAATACATCACAACTAGGTAGCTCAATCAAACAGCATACCATTAAGCCCGTTTCAAAAGAGCAAGACCCAAAACAGGAATATCAGAAAACTACAAAATGTTTCCACCGTATGTACATTGTGCCTCCTTACTTGCCTGCTTTTCTTAATGGGGCAGAGAAGTTTAATTCTGAACTGTACAAAAGGTTAAGTTACAAGCATAATTCAGGAGGTAAGTGGGGGGTGAGGCTAGAAGCTCTTCTTGGAGCTGGAAGGAACGTTTCTTGTTTTGTTTTTTTGAGGACAAACCACACACGTGCATACACGCGCACACACATAGCTGTTACAAACAACGACGTGAAAGAAATACTTACTGATGCCACTATTTTCTTTGTCTCCAGCATTTTTCGCTAAGCTCATGGCATATTCACATACCTCTGCTGCTTCCCTCTGAGCAAGTTGTCGTAAACATGCAACTGCAGCCCGGCGAAGTAGCAAGTGGGAGCTGCACAAATGAACCTACAATCAGAACCATTACAAGTCAGTGAACTGCTGCATCCTCACTTCAGCAAATCAGAACTGCTAAGGACTACCAGCATTCTCTTTTTTAATTATACGTCCATGTGTGAGCTGCTGGATACCAAGCTCTTCACAAAATCTTGAAAGTTCACGGATAATCACTTATTACAATCTACAAATTTGAAAATAAAGCTGGCATATCCAGAGCTGACTGTTGTTATCCGGTTAAAGAGATAAGAGCTTAAAAACTGGAACTAGAGCAAAGTGACTTGAGACTAATTATACATTTGAATCTGTTATACTCTTGAGTACTACTAAACACCATACACTGCTATAGCTATAAATCACATTTTTAAACAAAAAAGCCACCAGCAGCTGCACCACACATGACAGCTATCATTAAAAACTTCCATGTCAAATGTGTACCAAAATTTATAGCATAAATTTCAGTCAAGTGCCTCAATAAAAGAGTTTTCAGATTTCTTTGCTAACTAATATTGGGCTTCTAATTCCTTTTGAATCATCTCAAGTACAAGTAAATATTTTTCTTATAGAAGAATTGTGCATGATCCCAATTTTCTTGGGAGGAAGTAGCTGCACAGGGTACTGTATGTTTTTCCACAGTGGAGGAGATAAAGAGTGCTCTTTAATAAACTCCGATTCTTTATTTACCCTGGGGAATTTGTGCTCAATAAATTGCAAACACATTTGCTTTCTCAGTATTAAGCTTATTATGTGGATGGAAGCTGCTTTTCTAAATGTGAGAGTCATATAGTTTATAAACTATTTTAACAGTAGATCTTTATTCCACATATAAACATACAAGATTTCAGTCCTGAAAAAACAAACAGACTTTAAAAAATCCTCTAAGTATCACACTGAGGTTGTTTTAATGGAACTAAAACATAGAACACTTTGGGGATTTAATCAATGGAAAGACTACTGCCTGGTTTTAGTTACCAAAAAAAAAAAAAAAAAGGTTATGATGTCAATGCAAGAAGCAGAAAGAAAACTAGAAAGCATTGTGGAACTGTGTGGTTTAGTTTTGATACCTGGCATTAATTCTATGCAAAAGCAAGTTACAAAGTAATGAAAAGTTCATTAATTGGGCAGGTAATAAAGACCTGGCCTACATATCTATATTTGCAGTATAAAAAACTGCATAAGCCTATTTAGAGGAAAACTTATCAAACCAAGTATGATTTGAAAGTAAAGAATAAGAGAAAAGAGAAGGAAAATAGCTGTGGTTTAACAAAGGACCATAAAGAATCAGGAAAGAGACAGGAGAAAAGCCTAGGAAAAGTTTCCAGAACAGCACAAATCCTGCCGGAATTAGCTTCATTGCCTTTCATATTATCCACTAGAGGAACTGCTGGAGAAATTATTTGTCATGTTGTGCATGCTATTTATACAAAAAGGCGCACCTACTTCTGAGTATGTTGCATCTCCTTCATGCAAAATCTTATGCACAGACAAACAACAGAATCTGGGAACACTATACAGGAGGGCTCCAGAGCAGGAAAAAAAATACAGGGACTGGAAAGGGGAAAACTTGTAATGATGAGAGGATGCCCTAGGGAAAAGTCGGAATGGGAGATTAAGAAAAAGTTCCCACACTGATGCAAATAGGATCGCAGCCTTTTAAAAAGCATCTAAAACCACTTAGGGACAAAAGTCCTTTTATTGCATTTCAGTGGGACTCCAGTGTTTTTACAAATGCAGCTGTTTATTACATACAGGTATCCTTAACAACTTGCTAAGTGCTTCTCCTAACTTCTGCTATTGCACTTAGGCACACGCATAAGTTCTGAGGAACAGAAGGGATGCATTTTTTACTCACACAAAGACTGGGAACTAGACTGGACAGGTTGACATGCCGTGGTGCAAACATATGAAGTTGCTGAAGGCAGGATATGGCAGGGGGCGGG